GTGTGTGTGTGTGTGTGTGTGTGTGTGTGTGTGTGTGTGTGTGTATATGTGTGTGTGTGTGTGTGTGTGTGTTTGTGGTGGTGGGGGGGGACTTAACAGGGAACACTGTCCTCTGCCACAGAGACAGAGTTTAACTCAGCAGATCCTCTGACAGCTGGAGGTGAGTGAGAGTCTCTACTTCACGTTATTCAAGATGTTTCTGTCTCCGTGCAGGTTTGCACGTGTGTCTTGTTTTGTTTATGTGGAACATTTTACTCTGTGATAAGTTTAAGTCAGTCAATAATATTAATAGTCAGTTTTTAACAGTTATTGTTCAGTCTGCAAAAAGGTCAGAAATGAGGAGAACATCCAAACAGTAAATACTTGTCAGTTATTCTTACAAGACAAAAAGAACACAGAGACAAAACAACATCAGGAAATGATTTGTTCTAAAAATGAGTTATACTTCATTATTTACCAGTGACTCGTGTAGCGCTGATTTAAACAGTGTCTCATGCTCATGTGACATGTTCATATTATATATTATAATATATAATATCTGTTTATAAAGTTTTCTCCCTAAACTTTGACGAAATAGAGGAAGTTGGGGTGGATGAGTGTGAGTAGCACCTGAATCTTCTCGGTGACACCAGAGTTCTCATCAATGCTGGTTTCTTTTAACTGTCACCACCTCGTATAATCATGACCAGCTGACTTTACATGTTACCAACCTGTCCACCACAGAGCTGGATGATGGGTTGAAATCAAAAACAAACTGTTCATGTTTCTCTTTCTCAGCCTCTAAGGGTCAGTTCCACCACACACTGACCAGGATGCTGCAGCTGTGTAAAGTCACTAAAACTCTGTTCATCAGTAATGCCCGTGCTGCCTGCAGCGATGAGCTCCTCCAGCAGGAGGAGGTGACGCTCTGCATCAATGTGTCCAAGCAGCAGCCGTTCCCCTCCACTAACATCACCAAGTTGCAAGTGCCCGTATACGATGACCCCACCGAGGACCTGTACAGCCACTTTGACCGATGTGCCGACGCCATCCAGAAGGAGGCAAACCGCGGAGGACGTAGCGTCGTCTACTGCAAGAATGGACGCAGCCGTTCGGCAACCATCTGCATCGCCTACCTGATGAAGCACCGCAGGCTGAACCTGACAGATGCCTTACAGGTGATTGTTAATGCTTGTTTCTCTTTGTATGTCGGCACTGTGATCCGCTCGCGACCTGTTCAGGGTTTACCCCACCCCTCACCCAATGTCAGATGGGATTGGATCCAGATCCCCCAACAACCCTCAGGATTAACGGGATAGATAATGGATGGATAATAGTTGTTAAGTGGAGTGTTGGATCTGGATCCTGCATGATGGGAGTTCTCCCTCAGTGCATGATGGGAGTTCCCCCAGCAGTCTCAACCTATAGCAGCATGACTAAGTGATGGTTCAGGACCTGACCAGAACTATAGACTTTATCAAAGAGGAACGTTTTAAGTTTAACTTTAAATGCAGAGATGGTGTCTGACTCTAGAACCCAGAGTGGGAGCTGGTTCCACAGGAGAGGAGCCTGGTAGCTGATGGTTGGGCTTCATTATATTTTGGCCAACTTTAAATGTCTGGCAACAATAATGACAATAGGGTCAAAGTCTAAAGTGAACTGATGCTGATCTAAAGGTTTAATAACACTTGCTTCTGTTTTCTGTTCTCTGATCTGCTAGAGAGTGAAAACGGCTCGTCATGTTATTGATCCGAACCCCGGCTTCATGTCTCAGCTGCAGAGATATGAACATGATCTGCATAAACGACGAGGAGAGTCCTGATCTACGCTGAAAACCCTCGTACAGCTCTGAAAGTGAACTCTCTCTGTCCACCGCTGCAGCGCCGCAGCTGCAGTTTGATCTGATCTCCGTCTTTTCTGACTGTGAATATTTAAACTTAATGAGCCATAGATTCTAGATTCAAAATGATCTTTATATGTTGATGTGAACAGGAACAACTAAACAACTAGAGCACTTACGTCTTTATCATCAAAGTCATCGTTTGTCCATAATGAAAGATTTGTTGTTGATATTTTAGTAATTTAGTCACGTTGATAGTGAAATCAACAACTTTAACTCGTATTAATTCATCTATCAGGTACATTTATAGAATAAAATAAACCATTTGACCAAAAGGGAGGATTGCACAGTGATACTAATACTGTGGTATATAATGTGTACTGATACAATGCAAATCAATATGCAGCAACATGAACTGTTTTCTGTCATTTCAGTAATTAAACAAATAATTGATTAGTTGCATGGTTGGAAGGAACAGATCTGTGATCAGTGTGAGCTCATCCCTCCACCAACAGTCTCATGAAACTACATTTAAATTCACTTGATCCACATTTTTATTTGGATCAAATCACAAATACTTAAAAAACATCAGTGAAGTACTTGTTTTTAACAGCTCTTATCGTGGTTACACTAACGACGATTCATGTCAAGCGTGCAACAGACAGACTTTGTAGTGACGTGAACATTAAGTGTGTGTTTGTAAATCTCAGGTGTACCATTGATTTTTTTTTTCTAAATTTTGACACTACAAATATTTTTTCTTTCCAGTTTTGGTTTTGAAAAATAAAATCTTTATATTTTTCTCTTTTTTTATTTGTTGTCAAATCACAAATGATGGATTGTCTGATGGTGCAGGGACTGTGCTCAGTGATGCTGCGGTTTGGAACTGAATTTAGAAAATAACAATTTAATAAAGCACGTCAGACCTCTTCTCATGAGTCTGTGGAGATGAACACAAACACATCTGCTGGCTTTAGTTTGCAGCTCTGTAAAACAAAGGCCTTCTGCACATATGAACACATTCGGCCTGAACATGCTCTGTATCCCTTTACGACTGTTGAAGTGCAAATATGTGGAAATGAAATAAAACTCTGCATACTCAGGAACCAGCTCTGTGCTTCCAACTGATTCAAAATATAAAAAAGTGTGCGACTGATGGAGTCAGAATATTGTTATTGCCTCAGAGCGAGTTTTGAAATGTGGAATATAGTTTGTAAAGTGGACGACGCAAACAGTCACATCATGAAACCACAATTAAATTCACTAGATCCAGATTCTTTTTATTTAGATCTGCACCGAATCACACACACACTTCTCAACATGCCGGATTTTTCAAAGTAGATCAATGAATTATTCTCAGAAATCAGTGAAAATGTTGAACAATGTTCTCACGGTCTCAAAGACGGACATACATTTTTCTTTTCCTTGGTCAGCAACAAAATTTTGTTGGTTCTTTCTTGGGTCGCGCTCCACATCGCCACACAATTTCCAGGAAATCGGTTTGGCAGTGTTTCCATATTTCTGCTCAAACATAGTGGAGGTAATTAAGCACAGCTATGACTTTGTAAAAACAATGACCCAAGCTCCACTCAGCTTCACAACTTGTAGGGGGCGGGGTTTGATTGCATTTCATTACCTTCATCAAGACGTTAATATTTACATCTGTTTGTTCATGAATTCCTCCCAATATCCACCAATGACGCCAAAATGAAACCACTGACTGAAGCAAAATATGAATCAAACTGTTGGTGGAGCTAGAAGAAAAATCTGAGAATCATTTGAAACAGTGGGATTCATCCTCTGGGGACCAAAATCCATGTGATAACTGATCTGTAACTCGGGTGTGATGGTGTCTTTATTTTCAGCCATTTTTAGACAGGATGACTTTATTTAAGTGTATTAATGAATTTAACAAACCAGACTGGATCAAGTGGAGGTGGTTTAGATGACTGACGGTGGTTGTGGATGGTTGTTCCATTCTTCACGCACTTTGTTGATCCACTCGTTGTAGTTGGACACCTTGGTGTAGATGCCTAGCTTGTCTTTCCCGCCGCAGCCCTCGCCCCAGGACACCAGGCCAACCAGGAACCAGGTGTCTCGGTACAGAGTGACCATCGGTCCGCCGCTGTCCCCCTCACAGGCATCCCCGTTCTGGCCGAGGATCCCGGCGCAGAGGACGTTGTCGGAGATGTCGTTGGCCATCTGCTGAGAACAGAAGCTGTGGTTCACCAGGGGGACCTTGATGACGTTGAGCGCAGAGCTTAAGTGGGTTGTATTCTGGTTTTCTTTGCCCCAGCCTGTCACCACGGTGATGGTGCCGTTGAGGTGGAGCACCCGCTCGGCCAAATCTTGTCCCGGCAGGCAAACAGGAATGATGTAACTGGAGAATGGGGCGGGCGTCTCCAAACGCAGGAGGGCGATGTCGTTGTCCACCGTCTTGCTGTTGTATTTTGGATGTTTGAAGGTCTTGATGACCTTCAGGGTTACCTCGGTGCCTTCATCTCTGAGACGCTCGTAGTCACCTGAAGATAGATCACAGGGTTTTCCCAGGATATCTGTTAGAGGAGGGGCTTTGTGCCTGTTGCTTTCACGCAAAATACGATGTGATCTCCTGTAGGAGAATGTTTTTCCCCCTCTCTATTTAGGAGCACAATCTTTTAGTTCAGGACTTGTTGATTTCACATTCAGATTTTCTAATGCTCTAACTAAAAACCCTGAGCTCTCACTAAAATAGCACATGCTCGTGCTTGCGCTCAGGTATTTAGTTGCTTGCACTCACATTTCCTGTGATCCAGCTTCAGCTCTTCTCCTCACTCTGCTTCGGTTTGTGCATGAATCGTCTGCTGTCAGATTTCTCCTCTGCTTTAGAATTCAAACAACTCTGTCAAAATTCCTCAACCAATGGAATGCCACCTGTAGTGTTGACGAGTAAAACGGCCCCGCCCTCCTTGTGGGTGCATTAGCTTTATGTCTTTGAGAATCCTGTACGGCCGGTTACTTTAACTGGGTACATGCACATCCATACAGGATCAAATCGAAGGGCAGATCTTTCACATGCACACAAGTAGCTGGAGCTCCGGAAATGTGAGTGCAAGCACACCGTTTGAGCATGAGCAGATTAAATCTAAGCTCAAGCAGAAGCTATTTGAGCGACAGGGTTTGACCGTCACAATGTCCCACTGTTGGTTTAGAGGAGAAGAACGTCTCCTTTAGTTTCCGCCCACAGAGAGAAAACACCTTTTTCAGGAAATGTAATTTGAAGATTTTCGGAAAGCCTGATTAATGTTTGGTCTGAGCAGAGTGAAAACTCACCGAGTCGAGCTCTGAATCTTGGGTTGGAATTGAGGCAGTGAGCGGCCGTCAGGATCCAGCTCTGATCGATGAGGACGCCGCCGCAAACAAAAGCTCCTCTGAAGTCCATTAGCAGCACCTGCACATGAACAAACACCACAGTTAAATATTTATTTGTCATTTAACATTTACATCATATATCATGAAACGTCTTTGATTATACAACAATCAAAGTTAAAACTCGGGAGTGGTTTGATCAGATATGGTCTACGAATCTAACTTTTTGATGAACCAAATAATTTCCAAATGTTTTTAAATGAAAACATCATAAATAGATTTTGTTGGTAAAAGAATCCGAATACATTTTCTGCTTTGTTGATTGTTGTCTTATGATGTCCACCGATGGTTTGTTTGTTTTTCAGTTAAATAAGTGAAAGTGCTTTTTCTGCATTACGGGAAACAAACAACATTAATTGTCAAGCAGCCGAGTTTTATTACACTCAGGTTGATCCTGACCTCTGATCCCAGAGCAGTGACTGTAAATAAAGATGGACGACAGTGCACTTCCTCCCACTGAGCACAAATAGAGAAGCAGCCACAGTTCATGTCTCGTTACCTGCCAGGGACTCTCCCCCTTTTTCCCAACCTCCCCTCCCACAATCCACGGAAGCAGACCATCCATGGGTTTGGTGTAGGACGACCTGCTGATCAGCAGCCGACCACAGGACGAGGGACCTTCAGTGACAAGGCAGTGAGGGAGAGAGTGCAGTCATTCTCATTTAAACACATAAATTGTATTTGTGCATGAACCTCAAGTCATTCTTGAGCAGACAAGTGACATCAGTGCACATGAGCTGATAAATGAACTGACTCGTTTCTCACCTCTCGGGACACATTTCCTGAAGTTGTCGTGCAGTTTGTATCCGCTCACACAGCTGCAGCTCCTCGTCAGACCGTCCTCGCTCTCCGTGCACTCATGGTCACAGTCGCCGTTTTCCACAGAGCAGTTAGTGGCGGTTACAACTGAGCGACAGGAATTTTACACGTCAACACTCAGATGAGAAGAGTTTTCATGAGGCTTTGATTCAAATGTGATTCTTTGAGTTGTCGGTTCTGTCACGGGGATTTGTGCATGTTTGTGTGTATTTCTATGGCTGCAGTTTGGGTGAAGAGCCCCATGCTGCACAAACACCACTGGGCAGATTAAACGTGGTGAGAGGATGTTTGAGGCATCAGAGGATTTAGTGCGAGATGAGACATTTTTGTTGATTTCTCAGGGAAGTTTGTGATTCTTGATGAAAAACTTAGGACAACGTCAGGGGACAGATATTCATGAGTGTGTGCAACTCTGTGCAGATCCAAATACAAATCTGGATCTAATAGGATTTATGTTCAATTCAATTCAATTCAGTTTTATTTGTGTGGCACCAAATCCTAACATCCATGATCTCCAGACTCTTCACAGAGAAGGTGAAGAGCTTCAGATCTTCTTCATCTACAGAAACCAACTGTGAACCATGAGCAGCACTTTGAGTCTGTGGAGGAGAAACTCCTCATTAACAGAGAGAAACCTCAAGAACCAGAGTCAGAGAGGAGACATCTGCCTCCACCGGGGGAGGAGAGAGGGGGGGAGGAGAGAGGGGGGAGGAGAGAGACATGGGGAGGAGAGAGGGGAGAGAAGAGAGAGAGGTGTTCTTCATAGAGGTGTGGGCTGTTGTCAGTCACTGCACGGTCACAAATAAGGTTAGAAATACTCAACTAGCACCAACGTGTAGCTGAGAATCATCAAGTGGTCTGATACACGGGTTGTTTTAATTTAAGGGGACAGTCTGATACAGGTTATAGGTCTGGGTCTGGACCACAGTCAGTTAGGGAGCTCTGCTTAAAGGTTCAGTGTGCGGAAGAAAGCGACATCTAGTGGTGAAGCTTCATGTTGCAGCTGAATTCAATTTCTAACAATAGATCCTTTCACCTAAATCTTACACACTGGAGCTTTAAAGGTCGAAGGAGTTTTCGGAACCACTCGCTGGAACCTGACGCTCCTCCAGAGTTGAAATCTTCTGTGCTCACAAAAACAGCCCGAGACTTAAAATCGTCCTCATCGACATCAGACTCACGTTGGTCGCAGTATCTGCCCTCGTATCCACGGTTACAGCGGCAGGAGTAGGCTTGGTCCAGGTCCACACAGGCTCCATGAACACACAAGTTGGAGCGACACTGGTTCCCATCTGAGAAAGTCAGATCACGAGAATTATACTGAAAACCTGCAAGACGCAGTCAAGTCTGTCCCGTTTGATCAGTGTCCTCAGTCATCAGCTGAGAGACGAGCTCGTTCATATAACCCAAACATTATGACCATATATAACCTCGACACAGCAGCACAGAATCTCTACTGCCACTAGTGTGTCGGTGGTGTAATTGCAAGCGACGCACACACCTATATGCACAACTATGAATGCTCACGATGGCTAGGTGCGAAACTACGACGTAGCCTCAACTCAGGAGCAAGACTTGGGCTCGAGACGCTGACGGCAGCAACTTTGAAAACAGACACGTGGAAACTTTTACAACAGTGATGGAGTTTTTCAAAGTGATCAGCTACTGACACCAGAGGACACGTCTCTCACCTGTGTACACCGTCCAGAACTCCAGCTGTTAACACACAAAACAACAGCGTCAGTGATGAAGCTTCATCAGTAACGAGCAGGACACTGAGTTACGATGTGGAAACTCCCGATGATGCTGCGACTCAGACAAAGTGATCACACACAAAACAGCTTCACTGACGGGAACGTGAGAGAAATCAGTTTTTAATCTTTGTGTCCAGCTGCAGCTCTGTTGCTAGGCGACAGCAATAAGAGCGGGATGAGCTGGTCACGGAATCCTCTCCACCAGAAGGAGGTGGTCTTTGTGGACCATGGAGGCCACAACCTCCAGAGGATCTGGATCCTGAATTGAGACACGTGTGGTTCGGTTCTGCAGAACCTTCTCTCTCTGATGCATTTCAGTCATCAAACCAACAGAGGTCACTGCTCAGACTGGTTCTGAAGCAAGAACTGAGATTAACGGATTAAATGGAAGAATCTTTGTAAAATGGTGTAAATTCATCTCACTGTGGCTTCCCTGGTTTGGAAGATTTCTCTGGCCTCTTCAAAGTTACACTTCTCCTCCACACACTCCCGCTCCATCGAGGGGGATTTCAGCTCCTCCAGGAAGGAGTTGGCCCGACGGGAGCGGAGCAGCATTCGAGCCTCAGCAGGGTCCGAGAACACTGAGGGACGCAGGGGATTAAACATGAGGCACCATCCAGCTCTTCCACACCTCCATCCTTCTCCGTGCACATAGTTTTAGTTTGATGTTGCAATGTTCAATGTGACATTTGAGAACTTTAACAGCAGAAATCTCAAAACCTGGACAGATAAAACCCAAACTACTGGAAGAAGAGGAGGTAAAATCATTTAAATACAATCACAAACTGATGAGAGCAAGAACATGAAAAGTATGAGGATTAAATAATAAAGATAATACACTTTTTTTGGTAATTCTTATCCCCCCCCCCAAAAAAAAATTACATTTCTGAGGGCCAGGTGACAAACTCCTGAGAGCCAAGTTTAGAATTAAGATTAAATCTAAAACCTGTGTCACGTCCAGTCGCTCGTTATGAAAGAAGATATTTTATTCATTTCATTCATCTGTTTACAGCCTCATTTAATTGCACAGTCCTTTATCCCCATTTCTCCCAATCTTCTACGGTCACTTGATATTTTTAATATTTTTAATAT